ACATGCTGTGCAGCTTTTCTTCATCAATTTCCATTTCTTTCTGGCATTTTCTCTCCTTCCCTAGCTGTTCTCTTCAACTTCTCTTCCTAGTTTGTTTCCTTCATCCCCACTGCTTTCCTCCCATTCATAAGAGTCACTCCTCCAGTCAATGAACCAAGTTCTCTTGCTGGATATTTGTGATGTTACAGTCTTACTAATTGCAGTTTGGCCATAGAATCTAGCAGGGAAAACATGGGATACCATGCCTGAATTTCTGACTGTAATGGTGCACTGGTCCAAGGGCACATCCACAGGCCAAAACACCAGTTATTCAAAGGCTGGCCCTTAGGGGAACTTAGTCCAGATGATGGACAGAGCCCAGGAGTCATCATGACCAACAGGGCTACAGTTTGTAAGGAGCCTGTGGACTCAGTAGTTAGTGATAGCTCTCAGGGGGTCGCCTGGATAAAGCTGGGAAGGTCTATAAAGCACCCAGAGGAAGGGCTGAAAAGTTTCAAAAGGGGCCAGAAGATTTGCTTCTGAACATGATTTTCTGTGACTAAACCAGCCCCACCAGGGGCAAGTTAAGGCCAACACCACAGTGGCAGTGAAGGTAAAGCAAAGGCACATATAGCTTCAATGCCTGATTGGGAAAACCTCTGCTCTGGTACTGTGAAAAGCCTCTAAAGGAACTAGTCCCTTTTCAGACCTGCTCTGTAGCCCAAACCAAAGATAAATAAAGAGCACTCTTCGCAAATCACTGGTGAGATCCTGTGGGCCAAAATTCCCAAATGATGCAAGTCAATGGAGCTCTGCTGATTTACCTCATCTGGGGATCTGTCCGATTGCCAGTTTACTCCAGCTGCAGCTCTGGCCCTCTCATGACATTTTCCTCTCCCTTCTCCATGCCCCTCTCCCTGCCAGGGCCATGATGCCTTCCTCACGAGCATTAAGGCCTTGGAAAGTTTTCTTTGAAGCTAGAAGGCTTAGACTGTTCAATTTTAAATGGAAAAAAAAATGTAAACACTGGAAAAAAAAAATCTAAGGAGTCACCCCAGGATGCTAGGACCACCTCTAACTGTGAATCCATGCGGGTGGGAGAGGCCATCCACCCCATGCTGGTGGACAATGACCTGACCTCCGTTATTCACAACTTCAATGCCTCTCAGCTGGTCTAGAGCAATGTGACATACGTGGGCATGAAGCATTCAGCACTTAAACTCCAACCGGTACAGAATGCTGCCATGTGTCTCCTCTGCAACTCAGCCTACCACAAGCACACCAGAGCCCTTTCTCCCCTCCCTGCTCTGGTTCCAACATGAACTTGAAGATATGAACCAAGCCCTTAGACTATCGAATCAAGGTGCAAGAGATCTAAAAAGATCTAAACCTCTGGGTTGAAGACCATGGTCAACAACTCCACTCCTCTGGCCCCATGGATTTCTCAACAATAAGGGGAAAGCTCATCTGTGCAGCAGAGAGAGCTTTCTCAGGGCCAGGTGCCTGTCTGTGGAATTAACTTCCCTAAGAATGAAGGACCTTCACAAACCTCACCACCTTCTGCAAGGTACGTTTCTTTGATCTGCCTTCTCCAACATGAATATATAGCAGTGTGCATTTGTGTGTATATACATATTATAAACATTTCAAAAACAGAACTCTCTCTGGAGAAAGGATGAGAGAACACACATGACAGATGTTAGTCAAGTTGTTTCATGCACTACTGGAAGGTGCTCAGACACAGTGATGAATATGGTACAAGAACATCAATGGATGAGAACAGTGGTGTGGCTAAGGAGTGACATGGGGGGGGCACTCACCTCTTGTGAGCACCACCTGTTGGCTAGGTGCGATCCTGAACTTCTTTTTTGGTACTGGCACCCCTTGTACGTTGTTGCCCTTGCTGAACAAGGTCCTCGGTGGCTCAGCCCTCTAGCCAAGTCACACAATCAACAATGGATGAACCACCAAGGCTTATCACTGTGCCCTTGTTAGTGTCTTTAGCCCTGTCTCTGGGCTCAGTTCTCAGACCCTTTGGGCTAACTTCAAGTCCATCCCTGCGCTGTTACAGAGCACTGCTCCCAGGGCTTTCTCACAGGAAACTCAGTCTTCATCAGTTCTCACTGTCCTAGCTCTCCAACCAGGTCATCTCTTCAGTTCAGTCCCCTTCTGGAGTAACAAAGTCCAACACATGGGTGGTCCTCTCTGGGCCTGTTTAAACTCCAGCCCCTTTCTTGCACTTTCAGTACAGTCTTATTCCCTTTTCAGGGCTCAGGCCACTTCCCCAGTTGCCAGTGGAGGGACCATGGCCCACCCACTAGTTTGGCCCCCCCACCGCCAGGACCCTACAGGCAGCATTCAGTGATCCCTTTAACTTCATCAATTAGATGCTATGGTTTCCCTGGGCTCCTTCCCACTTAGTCCCATCATCTTCTGCCTTTGCCATAGGGTTACAGTCCTTGGGTTCTGACATATCCCTGTTAAGCCGGGTCTCTTGTCTTCCCTGCCAGCCTCTTTACCTGGAGTTTCACCGACTTCCAGTCCTTCCTCACCCCTCTGGTCCCAGCCAGGGACTGACCTGCTCAGACCCTGCAGCTCCTTTTATCTGCGCTTGCAAGGCTCTGATTGGCTGCCTCCCTGAAGCCTTTCTAGGGAGGCATGGAGGACCCACCTTCACTGCTCCATTCCTGGGCCAGGGTGTTGTAGGACCACAGGGCCTCCAGGTACCTATATACCCTGTTACAGTAAGGACCTTGGAAGGCAGTTCCATTGTGACTTGTCCTTATTTCCTTTGAGCTGTCCTTTCTATTGCATGGAACACAATGGGATTTCCTTTGTACCCTTGTCAAACCCCCTCCTTCCCACCCTTCTCCTTTTTATTTTGTGACCTGTCCTGTTCCCTTGTAAGGGGAAGAATGGTCTTGTGCTTCAAGCATAGCACAGGGGTAAAGAGCTGAGCTCTCTCCTTGGTTCTGCCATTGACTCCCTGTGTTACCTTGGCTGAGTCACCTGCAGGAATGCTTTCTGCCCTGCTTAGTGTCAGTATTGGAAAGATTTCAGGAAGGCATTAAACCCTTTTATTTGGTGTGTAACTGCTCCAAAGGGTGTGAGGCCAAGAGCAGGATTTCATTCATTTCCACTGCATCTGGGCTGCCATGTCTTGTACTCCCCCTTGCATGGGCCAGGCATACCCCGCCATATCACCTACCCCACACCACTGTGGGAGGGCCCACAGGACCCCTGCAATAGCCTCAGTCAAACCCTCATCCAATACATGAGCCACACCAAACTTGCCCTGTGATACTAGGACACTCAGGGTGCAATCCAGACCAGTGGGGGGTTGTGTCACCACCTGCCCTGCAACTTTGGGTGCCTTACAAATGCTTTGTTGTTGTAGCTTCCAGCAACAGAGCTCTCCAAGTTTCAGGTCAGGATCTTCTCTCAAAGTCCATAGGCTGTTTCTTTTGTCTTCAGGTGAAAGAGAGAGAGTTAGGAAAAGAGAGCTTGGGATGTTTTTATCCTGACTCTCACTTTTATAGTCCAGTCCGCCTTTGAAATGCATTTTCCTGAGCGTTACGTTACCCCTAGATAAAGTTCTTTCCTGCTGTGAGGTTGAGGTTAGAGTCTCCTGGTGAAAAAGGTCCAATGTTGATCGACCTGTCTTCCTTGCCAAAGAATGGCCACTTGACAGGTGATGGCCCATAAGCGTTAATGATACCTGGCTAACAGTAAAAAGAAAAGAAGTACTTGTGGCACCTTAGAGACTAACAAATTTATTTGAGCATAAGTTTCGTGAGCTCACAAAAGCTTATACTCAAATAAATTTGTTAGTCTCTAAGGTGCCACAAGTACTCCTTTTCTTTTTGCAAATACAGACTAACACGGCTGCTACTCTGAAACTTGGCTAACAGTGTCATCTTGACCTTTGTCTTTAAGAAACTAGTTTACGCCCTCCCCAGACTTGTCTGGTAAACACAATTTAGCCATGATTTCAGATAATGTTCACAGCTTTACTGTTACTGCACATTTCATCATGATATTATGGTCCAGTGAGTTGTTAGTTTTCAAATGATACCTCACATGGCATAATTTGCACAAAGATTGTTACATTAGTAGGTCGGGTGTGAATACAGGGGTGCATTCAGTCACAGACACCCGAGGCGTAACCACCCACCCACACCCTCAATGTGAGGCACTGCACGTGTGCCCTGACACACCCCTTTCCCCCCCGACACACCACATATGAACTGCTCCCTCTGCCCCCCCCCACACTGTGTGAGGCACCACAGGAGCCATGCATACACACTGGCCCAGCCCCCTTCCTGAACACTGTGCATGTGCCCTGAGCTATCCCTTGGCCAAAGCCTCACCCTGTCGCGTGAACCCCTGCACCCTGGGGACTCTGCCTCACCCCTGCCATGGGCCCACTACCATGCAAGTCCCTGCCTGCCTGTCCCCCTCTACTTCTGTCATTGCCTGGGACTTCCACCTGAGCCTCTTAACCCCAGACCCCACTGTAAGCCCCGGTCCCCACATGAGCCCTTCTACATCCCTGCTGCCCATATGAGCCCCCTCTACCTGTGTGCCCCATCTGAACCCCTCTGCACCCCTGCCCATGTGAGCCCCTGCCTCTTCCCCCCGCCCCCCTCAACTCTATCCCCCCACTCAAACCCCTCTGTACCCCTGCCCCCCATGTGAACACCTATGCCCCAGCCCCCGAGCCCCACCGTACCCCCATTCGAGCCCCTGCCGCCCACCTGAGCCCCTCCGTGCCCGTGCCCCTGCCCCCGCCCGCGCACGTGCCCCGCGGTTCCCCGCCCCCGGCCGAGCCGGCGCCGCGTGCGGCGGGGGGGGCGGACGGCAGCCGGCGAGGGACCCGCGCGGCGCCGCGAACCGCGCCCGCTCCGCCGATCATCCCCGGCGGCGGCGGCGTCGCAGGTGAGCGGCCGGGCCAGGCTGCGATGCGCGGCCGGGCGGGGGCGGCCGGCGGCGGCGGCGCTGCGCCCCCGCCCAGCCCGGAGCAGCGGCCGCGGGGAGCCGGGCCGGGGCCCGCCTAGGGCCATGGGCTGCCTGCAGAGCGTCGCGTGCAAGGCGCGCGTGCGGCGCGACAACATCGTCCTGAGCGACGTGTCCGCCACCATCGAGCCGGGCGCCACCGCCATCGAGGAGAGCTCGCCCGTCGTGCTGCGCTACCGCACGCCCTACTTCCGCGCCGCCGCCCGGGGCACCATGCCGCCCATCCCGCGCCGCCACACCTGGGTGGTGGGCTGGGTGCAGGCCTGCAACCACATGGAGTTCTACAACACCTACAGCGACCTGGGCATGTAAGGGACCCCCGGCACCCCCCCATCCTGCCCTGCACCCCCCCATCCTGCCCGGTACCCCTCCCCCGCTCAGCCCCCCCGCAACCACATGGAGTTCTACAACACCTACAGCGACCTGGGCATGTAAGGGACCCCCGGCACCCCCCCATCCTGCCCTGCACCCCCCCATCCTGCCCGGCACCCCCCCATCCTGCCCGGTACCCCTCCCCCCGCTCAGCACCCCCCCGCAACCACATGGAGTTCTACAACACCTCCAGCGACCTGGGCATGTAAGGGACCCCCGGCACCCCCCCATCCTGCCCTGCACCCCCACATCCTGCCCGGTACCCCTCCCCCCTCAGCACCCCCCCGCAACCACATGGAGTTCTACAACACCTCCAGCGACCTGGGCATGTAAGGGACCCCGGCACCCCCCATCCTGCCCTGCACCCCCACATCCTGCCCGGTACCCCTCCCCCGCTCAGCACCCCCCCGCAACCACATGGAGTTCTACAACACCTCCAGCGACCTGGGCATGTAAGGGACCCCGCACCCCCCATCCTGCCTTGCACCCCCCCATCCTGCCCGGCACCCCCCCATCCTGCCCGGTACCCCTCCCCCCGCTCAGCACCCCCCCCGCAACCACATGGAGTTCTACAACACCTCCAGCGACCTGGGCATGTAAGGGACCCCCGGCACCCCCCCATCCTGCCCTGCACCCCCACATCCTGCCCGGTACCCCCTCCCCCCGCTCAGCACCCCCCCCCGCAACCACATGGAGTTCTACAACACCTCCAGCGACCTGGGCATGTAAGGGACCCCCGGCACCCCCCCATCCTGCCCTGCACCCCCCATCCTGCCCGGTACCCCTCCCCCGCTCAGCCCCCCCCCGCAACCACATGGAGTTCTACAACACCTCCAGCGACCTGGGCATGTAAGGGACCCCCGGCACCCCCCCATCCTGCCCTGCACCCCCACATCCTGCCCGGTACCCCCCCCCGCTCAGCACCCCCCCGCAACCACATGGAGTTCTACAACACCTACAGCGACCTGGGCATGTAAGGGACCCCTGGCACCCCCCCATCCTGCCCTGCACCCCCCCCATCCTGCCCGGTACCCCTCCCCCCGCTCAGCACCCCCCCGCAACCACATGGAGTTCTACAACACCTACAGCGACCTGGGCATGTAAGGGACCCCTGGCACCCCCCCCATCCTGCCCTGCACCCCCCCATCCTGCCCGGTACCCCTCCCCCCGCTCAGCACCCCCCCGCAACCACATGGAGTTCTACAACACCTACAGCGACCTGGGCATGTAAGGGACCCCCGGCACCCCCCATCCTGCCCTGCACCCCCACATCCTGCCCGGTACCCCTCCCCCCGCTCAGCACCCCCCCGCAACCACATGGAGTTCTACAACACCTACAGCGACCTGGGCATGTAAGGGACCCCCGGCACCCCCCCATCCTGCCCTGCATCCTTTCCTCCCTCCCTCCCCCCGCACCCCGCAACCACATGGAGTTCTACAATGCCTACAGCGACCTGGGCATGTAAGGGACCCTCGGCACCTCCACATCCTCCCCTGCACCCCCACATCGTGCCCTGCTCCCCCCCCCCACAACCACATGGAGTTCTACAACACCTACAGCAACCAGGCAATGAAAGGGACCCCCGGCACGCCCACATCCTGCCCTGCACCCCGATACCCTCCCACTCTGCATCCCCCACCCCCCCCCAACCACATGGAGTTCTACAACACCTCCAGCGACCTGGGCATGTAAGGGAACCCCCGGTACTCCCTGCACCCCCCATATCCCCCTGCACCCCCCCGGAACCTCCTGCACCCCTACCCCCACCCACATGGAGTTCTACAATACCTATGGTGACCTGGGCATGTAAGGAACCCCTGCATCCCTCTGCACCCCCACATCTGCCTGATACCCGCCATGCACCCCACAACCTGTAACACCTACAGCAACTTGGTTGTGTAAAGGACTCTCACCCCCAATCTCACTCCCTACAACACCTACAGTGACCTGGGCATGTAAAGGACTGCAGTTATCCCACCCCCTCCACATTCCTTTGTCCTTCCAATCCCCCTTCCCCCCCACTCGTTCCCCCCATCCCTTACAGCACCTACAGTGGCCTGGGCATGTACAGGACACCTACAGCCCATCCCACATCCCCCCCATTTCCCACTCTGCACCCTAGCACTAGAAGGGAAGGGTTCTGTCACTTTAAGAGCATGCAAGGAGAGAAAGCGCTAAGCTATGAACATTGCAAGGACAGTGGGGAATCCTGCCAGCCATTTATTGCTCTGGGTGTGTGTGTGTTGCAGCTCAACTTGGTAGAATAGGGGTGAGCAAAACTGCTTCCCTGCCTGTTGCCTGGGAATGCTAAGGCGGGTTCGGATTCTCTCTGCCTGCTTGCGTGGAAGGGAGTTGTGCGGGAAGTCTTCCTGTTAATGCTGGGATTTCCAGCCTCCCCATGAATGCAGAGCATCCGGGTGTCCCATTGTGTTTTGTTTGTAGTGTTCATTGACAAATGTCACCCTGGTGAGTACCTCCTGTGGAACCAGAGAGAGCTGAAAGATCCACATTCCTCTGAGTGCTTTGTGGAATTGTCATTGTGTGCGTGTCCTGGCTGGGAGCTGGCAGGCTCTGCTGATACCCACCTAATCACTATGCTGACACCCAGTTATCATAGGGAACGACTGTACTACTAGCGTAATGTTACTAAATTAGGCACATTGCATAAAACCCTACTGAAAGAACTGTTGGAAAAGGCTTGAGGGCATTCTCTTACAGAGAATGAAGAGCCCTGTACTAGTGTCAGTAATACCCTTTAATCTTCGGGCCTTCCTAATCACAAATGTGCGCTGCTGTATAGTGCTATTATGCTGCACAGATCCTCTTCCTTCTTAACGAGCAGCCTCTTACTGATGCAACCCCAAGAAAGAGATGTGGTCTTGACTGCTTGGTGTAGTCGACAGGAGCTGAGATTGCCTATGGTTTTGTCCTCTGAATTTCATTTTAGGGCAGGAAGTGGATTAGGTGTTTTGTTTGTTTTAGCTGTTAAATGAATACAAACAGTCTCTGCGCAATACACAGCTGGTGAGGAACAATTCCTTTTTGCATGTGAGACGTGGCTTGCAAGGTTTGTCTTAAAACTTCTGTGTAGTGGGCTTGTAAGGGTCCTCTGGATTAATAGATGTTAAAGCCAAACGGGGCTGTTATGATAATCTCTTGCATAACACAGGCAAAAAACTTCACCCAGTGATTCACGAACCAGATCCATAACCGAATCCCTGAGAGCTATCTTGAATCAATCCAAGTGTTCAAAGGTTAACCAATTAAAATGAAGCCAAGGTGCCTTGTAGGTTTTGGTTCTAGTCTGCTGGGTGCTTAAATGTAATACTAGTCATGCTTCAGGAATTCGAGTCAAAGGCTATAGAAAGACTGCACCATCTGAGTGCTTTTTAAAACCGGAGGTGGACTTAGTGTTTTATCAGAAGTTGTTGGCACTTGTAGGAGGCTCCAGTTTCTTATCAGTTGATGACTCTGCTCTGGCTGTCCTCTGGCTAGTATGTCCTTCTCTAGATGCTGGCAGCTGGGTTGTGGGAACGTAGAGGGGGCTTTTTATAGTAGATGAATTGTATCTTTTTTTTTAAAAAAGGAATATTTGTGTTCGTGTTCTGCATCATTAAAAACTTACTTTTTCCAGGCTAATGAGTATGTGCTGATGACTTGGGAGAGTGCTGAAAAATGGAGCCATGTGCTTAGCTTGTTGTGTTGGAGTCTTGTTTTCCACAGCCTAAAAAAGGCGATGTGTATTTTATGGACTTGTAGTATACTCACTGCATTGGCATCTGGGTGCATTGCATGTGCAAATGGACATGAATTTATAATTGCTGTGTGTGCAATTGAGTGAACGTGGACTGTATTGCTGGGTAGAGGTCGTGCCTCGGCATCTGAACATTGCATGCTTCGTTGTTAGGAGCCTTGTTGTCTTATGCTGTGTACCTCGTGCTTCTGCTTACTCCTGCACAAAATGGCTGTAAAATGCTTCCCAGTAAAGAAATGGTAGGGTTTTATGCTTGCTTTGCCGGAGTGAAATGAGGACATGATATGTAGGGCAATAAAGAATCAGGCTTTCTGTGTGTGGCTCTACATTATAAAGTTCCGAGTGCTTCCTACACAAGGAAAATGTACAGAAAAATCAAGCTGCTCCTTGAAACAGATTTTATTAAGGGACCAAAAAAAAAAACCCCCAACCACCCCCCACCACCCCCAATCTGAAGTTCTCTGTATTTTGGGGTTTTCTGTAATGTGCATTGCTGTAGTCTCTGGGGCCATGTGTACACTGCAAACTTTGGTTGATGTAAATTACGTCGACGTAAAGCACCACCGCTGGTATTTAGCTTGTATGCATATGTACACACCTCTTTGCGTCAGTGCTGTGTGTACGCAGTAGGAATGCTTGTGTCAGTGCTCAGCGCGGTGCACCCTGGGTTGGTACACCAGTGTGCAACTTGTCATTTTCCCGCACGCTGTCTTTTGGGAAATTTTTTGCACTGCATGGTGAGGCAAAAATGAGTCATGCAGCAGTGACTGGGAGGGAGGGGTCAATTCCCATCATGCAACTTTCTCCTTCCCATAATGGCATCCCTATCCCACAATTTTTGCCCCTTTTTTAAAAATCCTACAAATATGCACTGACAGAAGCATGGAGCCTGCACAGCTCTGCACTATTGTCATGAGTGTTTTAAATACAGGACGCATGTTCCTCTGGAATCTGCAGAGCAAGAAGGACTGCAGCAGAGGGGAAATGACGTTTGCTGTGGGATATAGCAAAAACCAATTTAAGCTGGATGGTGGTGTTCATAGAGGACGAGTGGTGGCTGTAGAACTTTTGGGTGTGGAAGGTCACATTCCTGGATCTGTGTGTCCAGCTTGCCTCAGCCCTCCAGCTCAGGGACACCAGAATGAACTACAGAAGATTAGGGTTGGAAGAGACTTCAGGAG